GACACTAGGTAATGATTTTCATTGGTTGCAGTCGAAACTCGCTGCATCCAATCAAAAAGCGCCTATAACATGATCACGTGTAAATGTAGAAAATGGTACAGTATGTAAACAATTGCCACGTGCTTATTGTGCAACAAGTCTTTACATCCCTAAACATACGACTATATTTAGTGACAATTTGAATGTTTTTAACCAACTAATAGAAGTTCCTGTATATGTTTCTTGCACAAATGCATGAATGTCAACGTATATTTTCGTTTCCTGCTTTACCAAGTGTGTAGAATCTAGACGCTACCGTGTTTTTATCTCCAAATTGAAGCGTTCAAGTGCAACCATTGGTCAAGAATAATGTATTCGGAATGGGCGTGACTTTAATCTACCGATAGATGGCGCAACATTGTTTTCACAAATGTTGGCTTAATCTGCCAAGGGTGGAGAGGAGGGAAGTGGATCGTAACCCTTGGCTAGCGAAGATGTTAGACTAGACGCTAGTCTGTGAATTTTCACATGGTCCTGATATCAATTTTGGCATTGCAGAGACATGGTGAATGAGGTTTTTTTGTTGTTGTACATATTACTCAGTTGAGAATTTAGAAGAGGAAGGTTTTTTAGCGACATGGCCCTAGTATCATATGTTGTAATATGATATAGTAGTAGACACGGTCGATTGTTTTTTTTTATGTCATATGCATTTTATTATATGAATACTTGTTTAATTTTCCTTTGTTGGGTATTACATTTTTCCGATGTCTTCAAAACCGGGAGAAGGTTTGATGTTGATTTTTTTCGTCAAACACAATCCCCATTCTTGCAGCTCCTCGTAGACCAGATACTATGCTTTAAATTTGTTTGTCATCTAGAGCGGACAAAACTCAACGACAGTATAGATATGTTTTCAACGCTTTCTGTTAGTGGTGTTTATCTATTTATATTTCAAACACATTACCTCTTTCATATTTTTCTGTGTCATCATATTAAGTATATTTGACAAATATTGGTAAATCACCTATTAAGTACATTTGACATATATTTATATTTAGACTTGTTTATATTTTTTCGTTTGGGCTTGTATTATATTTGCCTTCGGGTTTATATGATCCGTTCATCCTATTTTGACTCTTCAAAATTCAAGTGTCAATCCCAAATTGAGGTAAATTATATGGCATTCCAAATACCGTTTCGATTCCTAACATCTCTGAAGAGACATTAATTGTCGAAATCTGGATATGGTGTACAAATTTTTGCACCTCATGTTTGCGGTATACCATCTTTTCTGCAAGTTTATTGTTTTCTGTTTGGTATTTTAATTAATAAATTAAGATCCATTTTTACATCTGGTGATCCGTTTATTTGGCAATCGCCATGGCAGTCAGCAGGGTTTAAGAACATCCGTTGTTCGACCTGCTAGTCAAATGCGTTTTGTTAAAATATACTTTTTCACTTTTTTGGTCTTTTGGAAAATGTTGTTTGTGCTGTATCAAGACCACTCTACCAAGAAATTTGTTTTGCATGCACACGTATAAAAATTGGGGTTTTTATCCAACGCAATCATAGGTGTGAACGTTATTTTCAATTTTGACTTGTTTATATTTGTTCGTTTGGGCTTGTATTATATTTGCCTTCGGGTTTGTATGATCCGTTCATCCTATTTTGACTCTTCAAAATTCAAGTGTCAATCACAAATTGAGGTAAATTATATGGCCTTCCAAATACCGTTTCGATTCCTAACATCACTGAAGAGACATTAATTGTCGAAATCCGGATATGGTGTACAAATGTTTGCACCTCATGTTTGCGGTATACCATCTTTTCCGCAAGTTTATTGTTTTCTGTTTGGTATTTAATTAATAAATTAAGATCCATTTTTACATCTAGAGATCCATTTATTTGGCAATCGTCATGGCAGTCAGCAGGGTTTAAGAACATCCGTTGTTCGACCTGCTAGTCAAATGCGTTTTGTTTAAATATACTTTTTCACCTTTTTGGTCTTTTGGAAAATGTTGTTTGTGCTGTATTTAGACCACTCTACCAAGAAATTTGTTTTGCATGCACACGTATAAAAATTGGGGTTTTTATCCAACGCAATCATAGGTTTGAACGTTGTTTTCAATTTAGACTTGTTTATATTTATATATATATAGAAATTAGAATTTGTTGTATGTGTCTTATAAGTTATGCAGGGTTTCTAAGATTTTCCGAAATGGTTATTTTTAAAAAGATCTGATTTAAAATTTGCTGATACACATCACTCTTTGCTCATACAGAAAAGCAAAACTGATCATTATAGAGAAGGCATGCAAGTTTTAATTGCTAGAACTAATACACAAACTATCTATTATTATCTAATATTATTAATTCGTATATTTTAACAAATTTGATTCGTTTAAGGACAGTCACATGTTAAACTATATTTTCGAAGGTAGAGAGAAAACGGCGGATAGCAAAAAGCATATTGCACGGTTATTTTTAGAATATCTAAAAACCGATATACTTTGTGACGTCATGTAATGAATTTCAGGATATTGTTCAACGTTTTGAAACAAATGACATCTGTGATCGATTATTTGACAAAAATTTTTTCAAATACATAAGATGTCAAACAAACAAAAAAAAAAGTAAATGAAATAACAACTAATATGTTGTTATTGTCAAGGAGACAATATAATATCTATAAAATTCCAACAAAATCAAATGTCGATTTTGATACAAATATGGTCGAAAATTAATAATATAACAAATATAGCCTTTGTATGAGGTCGATACAGGATATATCGACCCAAAGAAGTATATCGACCTCGGACTTCGTCCTCAGTCAATATACTTCTTTCAGGTCAATATATCCTTGTATCGACCTCATACAAAGGCTATATTTGTATAATATTATATAAATATCACATATCTGAGAGGGTGATAGAGCAGATTGTTACCCCGAGAAAACATTGTCAACTGAGGCGAATGTTCTGTTATTACTGTCTATTAAATTTTAAATTCAAAGTAATAAACTATGACGTCTTGCCATAACAATCATCCATATCTATTAAAGCGCAAACTTGAGCAAGCGTCTACGTGAAGGGTAATAGAGTATTTGCCATGGGATAGCATACAATTATGGCCCGTTGAAAAGGTGAATATCCAAAATTGTCAATACGAGAATGTTATTTCACTGAGGGCGCAGCCCGAAGTGAAATAACTTTTAAGGTTTGACAATTTTGGATATTCATCGCTTCTAAGGGGCCACAATTGTTTTATTATACCGAACTAACAGTGGAAGGGCATTTTGAATCATTGTAAAAGCACTTACCCTTACTTGAGTCAGTAACAAACACAAGTTGACGTTCAAAAATACATATAATTTGTACAACAAAGGTAGATTCTTTTTGTAAAATATTGATGGCCCTGAAAAGGACCGTTATTAGAGATTTCATCGGCACAAGATTCACGTCAAAAGCCTTATTTTCTCTTCTCTCGATCAATAGACTTCCTGTAACTTGAACGTTGCCATTTTGTTTATTTACGTCTGTGACGTCATTTTCATGGGTACAAATCAACAAACTAAAAAGGTTATTCGCCGGTGAATAATAGGGTTATTCCACGCTGGTGTAAATTTTTAGGGTTATTCGTTCTTCCTTGCAATTGAATGAAAATTAACTGAATTATTCCATGTCACGTGATAACGTTTTACCCAATAGAATTGTTTGAAATATATGTAAGGTATAATAAAGTAAATTGTCTCCCTCGTATTAACCAATCAAAATCTGGCATTTTGACATGAAGTATAATAAAGATGTATAATTTTCAGATTATATATTTAGGTACTAGTATATGTATTTTATGTAAAAAAAACTAGATGATCTTAAACCTTTGTCATATACTAGAGTTAGAGAAATTATATTATCAGCTCTGGAATCAATCGGCTTATTTATATAAGTCTAACTCTAAATTTGGATTACATAGCCTGAGATCAGGTTGAGCTACTGCGGCTGCAACAGCTTGCATTCATGATAGAATATGAAAGAAGCATGGTAGATGGGCTTCAGATTAAGATGGGAACAGTATATCTAACATTATATATGTTCCTGGATTAAGCTAAAGACGGCTATTTCAAAGAAAATATTAAAGAAAAATTGACAGTTTCTAAATGTTTGGGAATTTAATTTTTATATCAATTATTTTTGTTCAGATCTGCTTGGCTTTCTTTGTCTTTCGAAAGGCTGCTACACCTGTAGGCACACCTATCCTTTGCATGTGTTGTACATGTATTATTTATTAAATAATTTATATTCGTTTGAACTTAGCGAATTAGAATATAAATATATTTATTAAAGTTATTGGTCACATGATGTGGTAACGGTCAAGTGATTGTTCACTTTAAACACGTGTTTGTATTTATACTTAGCACATGGTTAGTGTTTATTTTAGTTATGATTGGATGGCAATGCCTTTTACGGGTATATGCAGCTCATGAGATTCATGAAAAGCATGATTAAGTATTACTTAAGGGTTTCGTTTGAAAAATTAAAGTTATTCGAAGTTTGCCTATAGTTTACGTAGCAGCAGTTCGTTATTATGTTTACCAACCCTTTCAGAGTTGAATATTGTTAATGTGGGTATTAACTGTATTAAATTATATGCTGGGATTAGTAGTGCTTGCCTGAATGTATAGTGAAGGATTTTAGTATGAAGGATATTTAATTGTAGGCACACTTATCCTATTCATGTGTTGTTTTATTTATTAAATAATTTATATTCGCTTGAGTTTGGCGAATTCGAATTTAACTGTAAAACTTGTTATGCTTCTTGAACGTACTTTATTTATGTTTGGAATATTGTTTTTTAATAAGAAAATATGATGTAAACAATATAAAAATATATAACGGAAACTATGTCGGTGACAACCAGAATCATTGTGTTCGAGATATTCATTTAGGAACTGGATGACTGAAGCGACATCATCAAATTTAGATTTGTGTATTTCATATACATGTGTTAAATGTCGCGAAACGAATTTTACATCGTTTCTGCTTGGATTGATATCCAAAATTGTATACTAGTTCATAGTAATGATATATTCGCATAATATTTTATGGTTACAATAATGGATATATATGTTGTGAGTAATTTGAAAGATAATTTTTGATTATAATCTGTACTGCATAAAAGGACTATCATTGTAACTTATTCCATTGTGTAAAATTGACACGCTATTCACCAGTTTATGAAAGTATGTATTATAATTACATACATGAAAGATAATTGAACATTCTATTTTACGATGGCCAAAAATAAAACGGACACATTTTGGCGGGAATACCTGAGGCGAGAAATAGAAGATATTAAATCGCCTTCCCTGTATCGGGCATGTGCTGCCGAGTTCATTGGTGTTTTCATGCTAGCATTTTACGGTGTTGGATGCAATATACTTAGCGGGGACTTTAAACCAGTTTCTAGTGTGCATGTTGCACTCGAAACTGGCTTCTACATAGCAGTGGCAATAACTATTTTCAGTAAGGTTAGTGGTGGGCATGTCAATCCTTCAATTTCAATGGGATTTTTTGTCACCGGTCAAATTTCAACAGTAAGATTTGTTCTATACGTAATTTGTCAAACATTAGGTGCAGTATCAGGCGCTGGAATTATTTATGCGATCACAGATGAACACATACGTGGAGGTTTTGGCGTTATTCTCCCAAATCCACACATAAGTGACGGACAAGCCATTGTTTGTGAGATGATAATAACGTTCATGATGCTTTTTGGAACGTTTGCAATGATCGATGAAGGGAGAGATGATGTACATGGGTTCGCTCCATTGATGATTGGTCTACTTGTGTCGATTAACGTGTTATGTGGGGTAGGTATTCACATTGTTCATTCCTTGTCTGACTTTTTTTTACATGTAGCAATGCTTTTTTAATTTGAATAGCAGTTCAAATATATACTATCGTATACAAGGTAGAAATGACGATGTCAAAACAAGAACATGATATCTGTTAAACCAAAGTCGTCTCAAAAGAATTGGGAAAAATATATAAGAAAAGAGGATACCCATAAGAAATTTAACCTTGACACACAAAGGAATAAAACAGAGTAACATGAATTTCATTAAAAAGTGGATTTTGATTGAGTAATATGAACCCCAATTACAATCATGGAAGGCTAATGAACTCGGGAGTAGGTTCTACTTCGAAAAAATGAAGTCATTATATACTTGCCAATATATTAGAAAAAAAATTATTGAAGTTAATATATACAGCTAAAATATAAGCAACGGACTTACCTCAGAAAATAACACCCATCAACTGCTTTGTTGAAGACAGATTGTGGCAATACCTTTTTGGTTAGAATTGTTACAGTTGTTCGGATGTTAATGATATTGTGAATATCTCAAAAATGATAAGGTTGCCCAAAGGGTTAACTTGGGTATGGAAATCTGGTCACGTGGGTCGATCCCGTTCGGAAGTAAGACCCATGTGAGTGGTAGTCTGTTAGTATATGTGAGAGCATAAATACGCAGCAACGTCCGGTTTAAGGAGAGTGTCACGCTCTCTGCACACAAAAGAACCCTTGTAATAGACGGTTCGGGTGTCCGTAAGTTACCTTTTGCAAGGAAAAGTTTCTGTAGCTTCCCGACATATTCTCCTTTTCCACAATGACTTGTATAGTGGTAAAATCCATTTTTTTCCACCAGCAGTCAAACCCGCCCTTCAACCAGATCGACCCATTTTAAAAACCTTTAAAAGGAATTATTGTTTAATTTGTATCCGACTTCAATGTACATGAAATATTTGCAAATGGACGGGAAACAAACACACTAAAATTAGGTAATTTTGATAGTTTTTCGTTGATTCGCTTTAAGTAGAAGAAGTTTGAAGCCCTACGCTAATATTAAGAACACCCTATACATAAATCATTATTGATATCTGGCAGAGAGTTGTCTGAAGAACATCTGAAGGTTTCATTAATTAGTTTATCATTTTCGATTTTAAAAGCCAAAAGTTACGTCATGAATTTTCCTTTGCAAACGTTTGATTCTAAATATGGAAAAATCCAAACATAGCTCAGAAGAGAAAAGGGGGATTGCGATAACTAAAAATAAAACTTACATATCGGTGACATTTTATGGTACATGTATTCTACTACAGTCAACCAAGTTGTGGTGGAGTAACATTTACAAAAAAGACAACTTAATAAGGGGATGAAAATACTTTAAAGTATATGAATTACTAGACATTGTCTTGTACCTGTCCTGACATTGTTTTGTACCTGTCCTGACATTGTCTTGTACCTGTCCTGACATTGTCTTGTACCTGTCCTGACTTAGTATTGATTCCCATGCCAGAGATGATCGACGTATCTGTTTATTATGTGTTCACATTTGAAATGTTAAATCTCTGTTTAATCATATTCGTGAACTGTTCAAAGCTGATGGATTGGGGCACCATTTTCACGTCGCATTTATATTACCCCTATATCATATATTTTAATTTACTTTGCTGGTGTGTTGACGTATACCTGATACTGGATAGTATCATACATTTTTAGACACAGAGGTCATCATTTGTTTTAAAAAAAGTATGTCATTCTTCTTGTCTCTATTGAAAAAAATTAATCTTGATTAGTTGAACAAAAAGAAAGGACGAAATACTTTACATTCGATAGTGAGAGTGTAATGCAATGTATTGAACGTAATTTGTACCTATATGTGTATCCAACTAGGTAGAACTTAAATATTTGAAATCTCCATGTTTAGAGTTTATAATGACATGTTGTTTTAAATCTTGTCTATCTTAATGACTATACAAGGAAGAAGGTAGCTACATGTATGTAAGTGTATAATACACGTCATGTACCACTAACTTGTTAAGAAGATGAAATAATGTTAGTCGTGACAGTTTTACAAATCGTCGTGTGAATCCAATAATTATGCATTTCCCATTGGGTAATAGTGGTAAGAATTTAAATTAAAGTTTAAAAGGGCAATATCTTAAATATTTGACTGAGGCATAAAAAAGATATATAGGAATTGAATTTACGTACATGAAGAGTAACTTTTTGTTCGATTGTTTTTTAAATAGACAAGCAACTTCGATAAATAAAACTTTCCCTTTACTGGAGATAGAACATTTCATTACAAACAATGTTGTTTTAGAAATTTATCCCTATATTTCTACAGGAGATATACCATGGATTTTTTAACTGTGTAATAATCCCAATTTTGGACTGCTGAATTTGCTAAGAATTTGCTCATAGATTGAGTTTTAACCACGCAAACAATCTAAGCATAGTACTACTCAGATGATGTTGATAATTATTTTACAGCAAAAATACCCGAAAAATAGTGGAGATACAACACTATAAAAATATTTTTATCTGAACTAACTTGATGAATAAGCAAATGGGAATGTGGAGATAGAACAATGTAGTTCTGACAAAAACGTGTAGGGTGTAGAAATCTTGTATTATAGTTGTATAGGGAGATAGACCATTGCACTTGGATATCAAAAATATAGATATCTCCATTTTTATCAAAAACGGACATATAACACTATAAGATTCACACGACGAAATGCTTTTCGATCAATATTATTTCAGTCAAGGTATCATTTTAAGGCGAACACAGGATTAATTGTTACTATATAGATATAGGAAGATGTGGTAGGAGTGCCAATGAGACAACTCTCCATCCAAGTAACAATTTATAAAAGTAAACCATTATAGGTCAAGGTACGGCCTTCAACACGGAGCATCGGCTCACACCGAACTATACTGTGTTATGGAAAACATTGTATTTTTAAATAAGAGAAGAAGAATTTTAAAAATTTCAAATGTTGAATCATTTCCTTTAAGTAATTGAATTCTTGCGTTATAAAATTGTGCGCCCTTTGTTTCACGAAGCATGCCTATGGAGATCAAGAAAAGGTGTGTTTCCAGTCTTCCTAAGAAAGGCGATTTTCACGTGATTTTGGACCGTCATCGTAATTTAGAATGTACGTGAAAATTAGATCATGTTAAATAGAGTTAGACGTTTTGCCTTGCTAGATACAACTTACGAATCATTGTGTAGAGTATCTATGGTCGGGTTGTTGTCTCTTTGACACATTCCCCATTTCCATTCTCAATTTTATATTAAATTTATTCGTGCAGAAAGCGCGACACTGTCCCAAAATTCGGGGTTGGAAACTTACGTAACATACGGCGTTTCGTACACACAAAAATGTTTGACGGAGAGTTGTCTTAATATTTGTTTTAGTACAATGCTATTACAGTATATTAATGTGTAAGGTTACGGTACTTAACCCTTCGTCAATTATCGACTTATGCTATGGAACTCGTAAACAAATCGTTAGGTTTACAATTACAATTAGCCAGATCAATGTTTAATTACTAGGAGTAATGGCCCTTGTTTATGCTTACATGCAAAATAACATATTCCTCGTATGTATTATTCAACAAGTTTGTTGATGAATTTTCTACTATGTGCCAATACATGAAGACTAGTTTCCACATAACTATGTAAAGAGGATATCTTCAAATTTCTGTTATAACTCCTATGTTAGTGCATAGTTTAGAGACCCCAAGTATATATTTACAAAATTTGAAGTTGAGTCTTTTCCAAGTCCTTGAATATATTAAATAAAGATAATGATTTTCTGTTTGGAGTAATATCAATAACACCCAGTTCTCGCAATCTTAAAGGATAATAGGTTGATACAATGATCAAATAAATGTAGAAATCCATTTGTGCTTAAGCTTGAAGAATTCAGGTTTCTTTAAAGCTCAATTCAGGCTTTCAAACTTGTTCTTTTTAAAAACTGTTTTCTAGCCTCATTTAATTTTCATAGCATTTCAATAATAAGACCCAAGAATTGATATTGCTTTATACAGTCTGTATTTTCCTTCCCAAATCTTCTATTTTTTTACGAAAACAATTATTTTTGTTATATTTGAGTTTACTTCTAGACAGCACCAATTGCAATAGTTATATGAAATATAAAGATTGCATTGCCGTTCTGTCTAAGTTTCTGATAAACAAAAAACGATCATCTGCATAGAGCAGGCATGATATCCTCTTGTCATTAAAACAAACTGCTAATCTGACTTTTTTTGTAATATTGTTGGAAGTTTATAAATGAAAAACTTGAATAATATGGAATTCAAAACATCATCTTGTCCTACACCTTGTTGATATCTTTTTTTCAGTGGAATATATCTGGAGGTTGTATGAACCCGGCTAGAAATTTAGGTCCAGCTATCATGACAGGGAAGTTAGACAAAATGTGGGTAAGTAGACGTAATCAAATTAAATGACAGTCATTGTTCTCCATAGTCTCATAGAAAATAAAGTTTGTGTCTCACTTTCGCCGGATGTCACCGAATGCGAAATAGAAAGACATGGTGGCGTTCGGCGCAAAATATTTGTTTTATATACTATGCTTTCTATTTCAGAAATGAAAAAGGGCTGAATACTCTATATATTGTATACAGATGTCCTTTGTTCTGATGTATCCGTCTGGCAAATGATATTAACACATTGACCTTATTTCCCTGGTTCAATAACCCATTTAAAAACCATATACATTTGCACTAGTAGTCATTTTTGGGGGGGGGGGGGGGGGGGGGGCAAAATATTTTTTTAGTTTTTAGTTATTACAAGAAAGTGGTCAGCCGTATTTGGTATATATGATAGTTGAAAGGTGTACATATTAGACAGACAGGGTACACCGGACTTTTAACCTTATTTCAAAATTTAAAACTCAATGCGAAGCAAAAAACCCACATACAATAATAACAAAAGTAAAAATGACTATACGTAGTTAACAAGTTAACATGGAATCGCTTAAAAACAATCATGTTTAACCCTGCTATACTCGTTATCTTTCTTCCTAAAAATCCCTATACCCGTTATAGCTAGATAGTTTTGATATGATTTGCATATTTACAAATACTTGAATGTGATTGGACCGTTTGATTTTTTTTTCCTTTGTTTACGCTTCGATTAACCGTGTTGTAGTAACTGCTTTCGTAACCTGTATAAACAATATGTCGATTTCACTTTTCATGGGCGGTACACATGTTCGGAATCCTTGGGTTGCAATCAAATTTGAACTTGAAAGAAAAATAACAAATGTTTGGGTTGAGTATACATGTAAGGATTTAACACAATTTTTCGAGGATATTGGTGCACTTCAACTTAGTACGTTTATCGTATTGACGGTCGTTAAACTTGTTTAGGAGAAAAACACTAATTGTAATGATGTAGCTGTCTCAAATAATTCAAACATCTACTACACTGGTAAAACTTGCGATAAAAACTATCACCCTTGCACATTTTGAAACATTCCTCAATGTTCAATACGTTCTCCGCAAGAATATGTTTCGCTAAATAATTATGATGAAGAAAAATTATAATAATGCTTCTAAATATGGCAAAAGATGTGAATAACAGACTTTAGGATATAGTGAAAAAAATAATACGAGAGAATATTTTTAATTTACACACCTCAATTCATTTTTCTACTTACTGTATACGTCTCAAGAGCACAAACTTCTTTGTATTTTCTACAGACTGTATAAGTCTCAAGAGCACAAACTTCTTTGTATTTTCTACAGACTGTATAAGTCTCAAGAGCACAAACCTCTTTGTATTTTCTACAGACTGTATACGTCTCAGGAGCACAAACCTCTTTGTATTTTCTACTGACTGTATACGTCTCAGTAGCACAAACCTCTTTGTATTTTCTATTGACTGTATAAGTCTCAGGAGTACAAACTTTTTTTTGTATTTTCTACTAACTGTATACGCCTTAGGAGCACAAACCTCTTTGTATTTTCTACTGACTGTATACGTCTCAAGAGCACACATTTCTTTGTATTTTCTACTGACTGTATACGTCTCAGGAGCACACATTTCTTTGTATTTTCTACAGACTGTATACGTCTTAGGAGCACACATTTCTTTGTATTTTCTACTGACTGTATACGTCTCAGGAGCACACATTTCTTTGTATTTTCTACTGACTGTATACTTCTCAGGAGCACACATTTCTTTGTATTTTCTACTGACTGTATACGTCTCAAGAGTACACATTTCTTTGTATTTTCTACTGACTGTATACGTCTCAGTAGCACAAACCTCTTTGTATTTTCTATTGAGTGTATACCTTTCAGTAGCATACACCTCTTTGTATTTTCTACTGACTGTACATGTACAAACCTCTTTGTATTTTCGTTTGACTGTACACATCTCAGGAGCACAAACCTATATGTATTTTCGACTGACTGTATACGTCTCAAGAGCACAAACTTCTTTGTATTTTCTACAGACTGTATAAGTCTCAAGAGCACAAACCTCTTTGTATTTTCTACAGACTGTATACGTCTCAGGAGCACAAACCTCTTTGTATTTTCTACTGACTGTATACGTCTCAGTAGCACAAACCTCTTTGTATTTTCTATTGACTGTATAAGTCTCAGGAGTACAAACTTTTTTTTGTATTTTCTACTAACTGTATACGCCTTAGGAGCACAAACCTCTTTGTATTTTCTACTGACTGTATACGTCTCAAGAGCACACATTTCTTTGTATTTTCTACTGACTGTATACGTCTCAGGAGCACACATTTCTTTGTATTTTCTACAGACTGTATACGTCTTAGGAGCACACATTTCTTTGTATTTTCTACTGACTGTATACGTCTCAGGAGCACACATTTCTTTGTATTTTCTACTGACTGTATACTTCTCAGGAGCACACATTTCTTTGTATTTTCTACTGACTGTATACGTCTCAAGAGTACACATTTCTTTGTATTTTCTACTGACTGTATACGTCTCAGTAGCACAAACCTCTTTGTATTTTCTATTGAGTGTATACGTTTCAGTAGCATACACCTCTTTGTATTTTCTACTGACTGTACATGTACAAACCTCTTTGTATTTTCGTTTGACTGTACACATCTCAGGAGCACAAACCTATATGTATTTTCGACTGACTGTTAACGTCTCAGGACCATTTAGTGAAGCTAGATTTCGAAGCTCAAAATATACAACCATCAGATTCGTCTGATCTTCACTCAAATCACAACTTTTGAAACTTAAACCATGAGGCAAATTTAAACGGACCTTATTCGGGAATAAACTTTCAATGCGAAGAAATTGAAGAACACAAACATACATAATGAAAAAATCGAGACAACCTTATATAATACTTGTTCTAAAAATAGTAGATAGATTTAGTAAAAAAAAAATCTATTAATTTTTAGTTCAAACCTGAACAGACATAACTTTTAAATCGTTGTATTAACACAATATTTTTATATTGAATTGTAACAATAAATTGACATGCACGTGCTTGTCCTGCTTTCTAAATTATGTGCCGCCTTTTATTTTCTTGTTCAAGTAAGATGATTATCTTGTTGGTAATTAGACTGTGCCGGATTTAATTGTGTTTAAATTTATTATAACGACATATGGTCTACGTTAGGAAAGAGGAAGGTTTGTGCGCACGTTTAACTTCTTTAAAACTGTGTGCATGTAACAAATAAAGGCGACAGTAGTTTACCAATGTTCAAATCTAGTATACAGATTAGGAAGTCAGCAACGTTGGTGCGATGGTTTTACGATCACAGTAAACAAACTATTATATATTTCACCTGAATTGTCTGGTTTGGTTTGGTGTACTGCTCATATCTTTGATAAATTCTGTAAATAAATGATCTTTTTTGTTTATTATTATCAGCGATCACATATTCCAAGAATTTGGAAGTTACTTGAAACAAAGTGTAAAATCTAACAGGTTTCTGACAAAATTTATACAGTTGAAAAAGTATCTTTTTTGTATTTAATGTTAATTTACTTAGCATTTTAAAATTTTCAATTCATAAAGAAAAGTATCGCTGTCTCTCTAATATAAATATAGTTTTAAACTCAATTATATTTTTCTTGTACTAAATTTGTATACTATCGGAATGGCTCACTATTTTTTTTTTATTCTACAGCTTTATTGGATAGGAGATCTAGTCGGAGCTACCGCCGGTGCTTTACTGTACGATCGTATTTTCTCCACAAAAGTTTGCCTTCGTTGGATGTCCGAAGGATGTTACAGTAAACGGGCTGATGGAAAGAAAATTCAATCTGACGAGAAGTCGGTAATAGACGCAGCTTCAGGGGGATGCAACGAAAAGATTAAGGACGGCGTAACAAACCATGCGTCCAATATTGAAGAGCTTGCATGTGATGACTATCAACTTACGAAATTATAATTGCAAATGATATTAACTTGCATTATAATACCATAAAGATATAGCTGTTGCTGCATTTCAGTTCAGGATATCTAATGAAACTTTGTAATACAGGAGATTGGTGCATATATAATGCAATACGTAGGATTTAATATTCTATTCCTCATGTGTTCATGTATGTTTGATCTTTTAAAACAACTGAAATTGATATTCTGAAGAATCCATGAATACCTTTGAAATTCTCTTGTATCTGTGTCTGTGTGTTTAGTAACAATATTTCAAAAAGAATTAACACTATCGGAACGGCTATCGTGGGAAGTTTTTCGAGATGAGAAGAGAAATGCACACGCACTTTGTACAGGATAAAAAGCCTTTTTACGTCTATAGCGTTCATATTATTTATATGAATAGGAAAACTGAAGATTTCTTACTAAAAGGATTCAAAAGTTTACTAAAAAAATGCATAATATATAGTATTCAGATGATAAAAAAATCCAAGTCAAGTTTTACAGTTCTTTGCACATGTATTTGTCTCTAGCGGAATTGTCAAATACAATCCTTTTGTCCTGAAAAGAATTAAAACATTTTTCAGGTTTGATTCTATTTCATGCACAGATGTCCTTTTATCGAAGATGTCTTAAGATTGGTCTTAGGTCTATCGTACATGTAGGACATTATTAAGTCTCAAGTGGGTTTTTCAAACATTATTTTTCAACTTAATATATGGCTCAGAATTGGCCCTAAGTTTGGACTCTTATTGTGACCTTTATATGATTCTAACTGTAGGAATGAATTTAGGATGTCTTTTACGGCAAAAATAGTAAAACTACTCAATATTTATATGAAAGATGCACGATATTGCCTTTGACCTCTGTAACGTGACAACCAGAATTCATCTCCCTCCACATAATCATAATATATATAGTTGAAAATGTTTACATTTAAATCTTTTAAATCTCTATTCATATTCGTTCTTTCGTTTTGATTCATTAAATTACAATGTGCAATCTTTGTTGATATTATTATAATGGTGAATTGGGATGCATTTTTTAAGATAGTCCTAAGAGATCTTCGGTGTGCATTCTCAGACCTGTGTTAAGACTCAGATGGTTCTAAAATTATCCTTAACTATGTCCTAAGATATATATTTTAGGTCAGATCTTAGGACAATCTTCGATAACAGGCTACATATGTACATACATTGATATTTTTCCTTCGAAATATATTTACATTTGAATATGCAATAGATACATGTATATAAAATCATACATATAATGAATGATATGTACCTCCAGTTTAGTACGCAACCTTGAACGTAGGATTATTCCTTCTTGTGACATAAATTATGTTTTGTGTGTTATTTGACCTGAGCAAATGTTTGTCAAGCAAACAAATATAGCTTACCATCTACACGTTGATTTTAACAGCATTAAGTGAAACGTGAAATTCTTAAACATAAAATTCATACTTTCAGATCAAGAAAGATAGCGATAATATCTTTAAATTTGGATAATGTATATAAAAGAAATGTAATGCTGAAAGTTTATGACCCCTTCTGTAGTCCTAAGTGCTACAATATCAAAACTATAAAATTTTAGTATAAAAGTGGCGTGCCATTTTGTACACATACTAAAAGGAAACGTTGTTCGAAGCAATTCTACTAACTATTTCATTGCATTTAATAGAAAATGGGGATTTGGTGGCTAATAAAGCCAATTTTTTGGCAAAAAAACCGCTGACTTCATTACAGAGATTTTCGTTAATTGTAATTGTAAACATAGATTACTCATTTGTTAGTCCATGATGTGCTAGCGTTTATTTTCGACAAAAAATCCTAAACAACCTTTACCATCCAAAAAACCTCGTGTTGATCCACTACAGTCGAGTAGAAGCTGTACTTGAATAAGTCTGTTTTTATACCTGTTTTAACCAATATCTTTATTTAGATACTTGTTTTTAGGGAAATCATTGCTAGCACTGCATGCAATAATCCTCTTTCTATTTAGCACCGAATTGTCAAATAACGAGTACAAGGGGAAAGGCTGTTGAAATTTTATAAAATTTTCATATGTTTAGCATTGAAACAACAAAAGGGTACATTATCCTTAATTTACATTATAAAGTACTTAGATGATTACATTATATTATGTAACGATGTATCATTATTTATCATTTACTTAGAGTAAATAACTTATAATTTTTAAAGTATGATAATAGCATTAAATTTACGTGAATTTCATATTTTCCGAAATGGTGCTTAGCGGGCTGTATGAAAAAATTATCAACTGCTTCCGGCTATTATCGCATGCCTTTCCGTAACGTTATCGCATGGCATTCCGACATTACCAGGCAAATTCCGGAAAATACACCTCAATGGTACGTTTTCAGTGAAAAACATAACAAAGGAGGGTACAAAACAAATATTCGGAGACAGGAAAATATAATATGTAAAATGCAAAATAAATGATATAATAAATGCATTTTTCAAACTTTCCAGCATAATTTAGCAAGTTACTTTACAAATATTGACTTTTCCAAACAATGTTCATTATGTTTTGTTGATTTTTTTACCGTCAATATAAAACTATATTATACTGTTGTTTTTCTCCTCTGTTGAGGCATATGATAGAAAGATTTCATATCGGATATTTACATTTGGCCTCTGTCGTCCGTAAACTTTTCACTTTTTGAACTTCTACCTGAGAACCACTTAAAAGGATCAATATAGTAAACTGTTATCTTTCTCCATTGTTGAAGCATATGATAAAAAGATCATAACATGTCATTTTTCATATCTTCGGCTCGAGGGCTGATAATACATCTGATATGAAAAATGCCATGTAATAATCTGATATTATTTAATTGACAAAAATGCATCATCTTCAATTGAACATAACATAGAAGCATGTTTTATACTAGACTGATATTAAACTGTGACGACTATAAGCTTCATCAAGTGTAGTCAATGAAACTTTTTGCCGCAATTGATGTGATCTGCAATAATTAAAGCAGATGTACGAATAAAATGATGTGGAATATACTTCAATGAAACAACAACACAGCGACAAATATTTCCAAAAGCATCTAGATGGCAACATACAGTCTTCAATAATTGACAGGTGTATATACATAAACAATATATCAAGCTGAAAATCATCCACGATATAACAGGTGTAGATAGATTTAAAGGAAACAATGCAAGATCTTCAACTCACAACAATGTATCCCGAAATACAGAAAGATATGAAATACGAAAACAACAGACAAGAGATTACTGACAAGCACATTACAGACAGTAGTAAAAGTTAGTTACAAAGTTTGCTGTATTCAAAATGCTAACCTTCATCGCGAACTCTCAGGGAAAAATGTGCAAAGAATGCAGAACGATGTCAAATGTTCAAATTTAAGAAAAATAAAAGCATTCCACTGAAAAAGTGGTATAACAACAAAAATTGGTTTTGGAAAATAGACGTATGGCTCCCTGTTTCATCCTATTTAATATACACAATAAAGCAACTATACTTATAGGTTATATAATACTTGGTCATGTTTTATGAATATTGAAAGCCCGAGGCGTAGCCGAGGGTTTTAAATGTTCCTAAAACATGACCAAGTATTGTCTGACCAATTAAGAACATATTCAAATCTTCGAGTGACATAACAAAATTAGCCTCTCATTGTAATAATGATTTTTTTATAAAAAGTCACCAGTGTCTGAGCTGAAAGTTGATGAACCAGGGTTATGTCAAAGAACGTCTCGACCTTTTGCTAAACAAAATTCATCGGAAGATACCAAGACCTAGTTGATAAATATTCCGTATCAACTTCACAAATAATACATGATGGTCTTGAAGTATAGATTCTAGGTACTGACGTTGTTTATCATCTTAATTACGTGTTATAGTGTTCTTTTATTTGTCTTTGTAAATTATTAACCTTTACTGTTTAGTCCATTTTTGGTAATATCTTTTTGGCGTGTTATTGTGCAATGGTCATTTTTTGTATTCTTGTCTTTCATTTTAAATTTGCTTATGTGCTTTGTCTATGTGCCATTTTGTTTTTCTTTTTTGACATATTTGTTTGTTTTTATAGTGATTAAGATTATAACACAATGTTGACTGCTGTACCCCTATTTTTGACATTTTAACCTATTATGTCTGTTGGGTTTGATCACACATTGTTGTCAATATAATAGAATTGTATGCGACTGGCATACAAGAGAGAGGTTTAGCTAGCTATAGGGCCAGGTTTGATCCACCGTTTTTTACGTGAGGAAATGCCTGTACCAAGTCAGGAACATGACTGTTGTTATCCATTCGTTTGATGTGTTTGAGCTTTTGATTTTGACATTTGATAAGGGACTTTCCGTTCTGAATTTTCCTTGGAGTTCGATATTTTTGTTATTTTCCTATTTGATATTAGCCCACTTTAAATGTTAACATGATTAGTAAAAGGGATGTAAATGTTTTTTACTTTTTTTTTTATTTCTTTTGCTTCATATATCAACAGTCACTGTTCCATAAAAAACATTGCCTCGTAGGTTAACAAGTTTTAAATGCTATTTTACCTACACATTTGCCCTCTTTTCAATTCTTTTTTAAGAAATGTTCCATTTATGTACCATTATATACCGTTTACAATATTCAAAACTAAACTCAATATGTTTTTATAATTATATTCCTCCCTGTTTTATTTATAACAATTAGACAAACAACAGTACTCATGATTTTTGCGTGAACCCGTCAAGGCCTATATATTGGTGAGTTTTGGAAGCTTATATGGGCCATTCAGATATCCTCGGAAACAAGATTCTCGGAATGCCTCGAAAATATTCGATTGTTTATACAGATAGTTTTCTATCTTTTTAATACGGTCCCTCTATGTATAGGCTATCACGTGACATTGTATATTTCAACAATCAAAGTTCGTTATAGATTGGAAAGTAAAGCAGTAAAGACTAGATTGCAGAAAAAAATCATTTATAAATTCCAACCTTTTTGCCATTTGACAGAACATATGAGTTTTGATGTGAATGTTTATCAAATATCACGTATAATGATAAAGCAATTATATAATTTATGTTTTGAGACGGTCACTGTACGCGTTGTGTATGGAGTATTTAATACAACGTGCTATTGTGCATCTGAGGAAAAACATGGGAATAGTAAACTGACAATATATTATGTCCAAGATTAAACTGATTATTTCTGAACGTTAAGCCAGTGATGTTTTGTAGAGGCATATGCAACATATGTAACCAAATGTTGGAAAGAAAAGAGAATTAAAACTAAACGATATTTCTGTTAAAAATATTTAATTTCATTAAAAGATACTATCAGATCAAGGGAATATTTATTCAAATTATTAATAATGTTATATTATGTTTCACAGGTTTTAATAGTGAAAATATTATGAAAATTATATGCAACATGTGACCACCAATTATCAGGGATGCACACACATAAATTAATATCTTAAATTCAAACTGTAGTGAATGAAAAAAAATACTTGCATGGTTTCAATTCACAAGGACCTTGCATCTCACGAAAAACGTAATCAATATTTTACAATAATCATTTCTTATTAATAGTCACTACGATAATTGTTTCATACCGTTTTAATATTGATTTGGAAGTCTCTGCTTATATTTTGTATAGCAATATAGGATTGAATAGATTGATTTGATACAAAAGTGTCCATCATGATCAGTATAGTATATTTTAAATTTTCGGAAAAGATTTGTTAAATGTATGTAAATGAAATTTCATTTCATTTTGTTTTTTGTTTTAATAGTTCAGCCTTATAGGATCTTTGCAATATGGTACGATTTTGTAAATCCGATATGACAACAATATCGGTTTCGTTCACAAAAATTCCGGATTAAATGACAGTGACAAACCACTTGAGGATAGATAGTTTGACATCCGAATTCAAATAACATTAGATTTGAGCCTAGAATAAATATACGTGATGATGCAAATGTATCTTCATCAGGAACGCTTTAACCAAAAAAAAAAATGATGAACATGAGAACATTTATGACCAAAAGAACATTAAAAGAATGACCAAAGTTATCGAAGGTCAACTTTGCCTGAGAGAGTCGGAAACTTAGATGTTTAATAATCTCTTAATTTATCAATTGAGAAATAAAAAAAAATATGTTGAAAATAACGAATCCCTGACTACTGAGTTGACGAAACCCTCGAGGACTAACATTCCACCAGCAGTGGTATCAAGCCAGTGCTAAAAAATGAAAATTATACTTTCGAAGAAGTTTTCTTGATTTACTTCTATATGCTATTGGAAAATACAAAACTAATATAAAAAAAAAAGTTTTTAAAAAAAATAGATGCATAACAAAAAATTATCAAATCTGTACAAGATATCACATGAAATTAAGTGATTGTTGTATTACTGTGAGATAATTATGTGAGGTTAGGATCCGCTTACCGTGTTCACGTACCGGGTCTCACTCCTTTTAGAGTTCAAGCGATTTCATCAGTTTTTGCTTGTTACTATGATTTGTCTTCATAAACGATTAATGAGAATTCAAAATCGGTAAACTACTGATAGATATAAGAAGATGTGGTATGAGTGCCAATGAGACAACTCTCCATCCAAGTCAAAATTTATAAAAGTAAACCATTATAGGTCAAAGTACGGCCTTCAACACGAAGCATTGGCTCACACCGAACAGCAAGCTATAAAGGGCCCCAAAAATTACTAGTGTAAAACCATTCAATCTATATAAAAAACGAGAAACGAGAAACACTTATGAACCACATCAACAAACGACAACTACTGAACATCAGATTCCTGACTTAGGACAGGTGCAAACAAATGCAGCGGGTTTAAACGTTTTAATGGTACCAAACCTTAACCCTTTTTCCTGAAACAATAGTGTAACATCACAACATAGAAAGACACACTATAAAATATCAACTGAAATAGCTTAACTCAATCGAAGGGCATATTAACACCAGTGAACATACACTGAACAAATAAATTTGACCTATGATACAATGCCTTAGTTTGGTTCTATTCAATGGTAAACTGTGGAACATTTTGCTTTCACTCTCAAATAAGTAGAAATGTTTAAGTCCTAGGTTTCTTTAATAGGGGAATTTCAAAAACTTTATCAGATAAAAAGAAAAAAAGTATATCGACACTGATGTTATAAGTCAGGAATGAAGTAATTCTACCAAGTTTAATTAACTTGGGAAATTTGTGTTGACAAACTTTCGTTACGGAAAACCTCCCCTTCGTAAATGGATAGCAAGAAGGTAATCAAAAATCATAAAATAGGACAGACAACACATTGGCAGCCAATAGAAAAAAAGACGAAAGGAAGAATAATTATTCACATAACATTGCAAATAAAACCCTATCAGAAAGTAAACTGAAGAGTAAGAATGTATTGCATTACTAGTGACACCCACCAACTGATCAGTCATGAATAAGAAAAAGGTCGGGATTAAGGCTATACATTTTTAATGTATCGGTGGTTATATGTGACACACGTTTCATAACGGTCAACTAAGGTATGATGACGAACTAAAACGTTTTATGGTATTACTTCAACTTCATACCATTAAGATCCTATAGTTCAGGAGCTACTTTGTAAACAGCAACCCTCGGTTAAAGAAACCCTGACTGATATTTAAACGAAGACCTCTATATATTCTAATGAACGCCTAGCACAATTTTCAATGATTCATATCTTATGTACAAAGGTGCAATCTAATTCATGCATGTCATTCTTGACGAAATCAACTTTATTAACTATCGATACGGTCGATATCAAATAAAACTTATTTATTGATGTGTTCGTACTTTATTTCGCCTATTCAACGTTTTTGATTCGAGCGTCACCGAAGTGTCTTTTGTAGACAAAACGAGCGCCTGACATACAAAATTTTAATTTTAATCTTTGATGAGTTTATTTAAACAAACCTCATTCTAGATTTCAATTGAGTGTAATTGTCTGTAAATTACTTACGAGTCGTTCTCGAAGGTATCACCAGCCCAGTTGTCGGTACGTCTGTGTTGACAAGAATTACCATTGATACGGTAATTTTGTGTACATTCGTTTAAAAAATATGATTTTTTCGAAACACTACCGTTTTCTACCCCCAAGCATACATAGCCTTGGCTGTATTTGCCACGATGCTTTGGTATTTTTTGGTTTTCAACGCTCTTAATCTTCGTTTTTGATTTCGCCTTCCAACTGTCTTTATTTGAGAGTCCATGACGAGTCTTATGATATTAACGAGTTTTTTATATAGTTATAATTGAAATTAAAAACATAACCATCTAACTCACGGCTAAACCATTAACAATTTAAAGCATATCATACTTATCAGGGGTATAACAAAAATTCGTACGGTGCTATTTCCACCAAGTAAGGTCAAAGGTCAAGGGCGAGATGTCAGCAATATTACATATTCTAATAATAAAACGTTATATCAAAACATTTAAAACGTTTAAAAACACTGAATGTGTTGATAAAGTCAGGAAAAAATGAAATTAAAATGTCAGAATTCAAAGTTTGGTGAATATATTGATCGCATATTTTCTGTTAAACTTGAAATAAAGGATACTATACATACAGTTAGGTCTGTTTCATACATTGTCTTGCCTATAAAATTTAACAGTAATGTTCGAATTAGATTTCACCTGACGGCAACAGATTTTTTTTTTAATTTGCCAATTCCGGATCTTTGGTATGTGTAGCAACTGCATCAGAAGTATATAATTCCCCTTTTTCCAAGAGTTGCGTTTCCTATCATGATTTCCTTGATAAAGAGTTACTGCTTAATATGTAGCTTTTGAATCAATAGTAATAAACTGGTAATACTGAAACCAACTCTTTTTATCTACTGTTATTCTTATCTTCTGAAGTTTTATGGACTCCAATATGTTTTTGTTGACTGTTTAGATTATTTTTGTCGTTGATGACTACTTTTCAGTTCCTCTAACATGACAACACCAATGGAACTGATCACATGATTTGTACTTACTTTTAATGAAATGAACGGGTGCAACTTACGAGAAAAACAAACTGCTTTTCGGAGCATCTAAGTTTACATTCAGTTTTACGTGGGTATTATATGTTTCTCTTTTGTTTTGTATGTTGTACATTTTGGACTGTTATTGTTTTGTTGTCTATTCTACTTTTTCTCTGGTCGTGTATTTCTCCGACTAATGACTTTCAATTGCTCCATTGCTATCTTCTTATAGTCTATGTCTTTTACAGAACCTTTACTGTGTACACTGTATGATATAAAGCTATTAATCATAATCGGTAGGTTTATTTAAGTTTCTATGACACTTGAAATATTTGATTCAAGTTTATCCAACAATTTACAAACAACAGTTGGGCTCATTTTTTTATTTTTTTTATTTCTTTTCATTTTGCAGAATACAGCAAAGTTACATATTCTAGCTATTGAATATTAAAATGACCTACTAAAACATGGAAAAAAATACATTTGTTGATAAAAGTCGGTGTCATCCTGGTTTGTCCATTATAATTACTTATATATATAAAACAAAAGGTGTGTTGTTAAATAAAAGTTTAGTTCTGAATTGTAGTCATATTTATATATTGTAAGATCTCACAAAGAATACTTCATTACACCACTGAATTAAGGAAAATTGTATGGTTTTGACAATCAATGTTGCACAAGTTGTTTAAAGGGGTCGCTTGCACTGTGATTTAATATTTGAAGGGTGGTGACAATATTTTAGAAAAAGAGCCTGAACAATGATAGAAAAATCAATTAAAATGTCATGCTGCGAGGGGTTAAATAAAATGTGCTTTTCTATCACGACCCCTACCCTTGTATATTTCTGGAACAGCCCTAGCACGTTTGCAAGGAAAATGCATTATGTTGACGAACATTATACAGAAATATACATTATTTTTGACAAGATTATCTTTAACTAAATTTGAAAAATGTAAGTAAAATATGACTTCTATTAAAAGTAAATGCATGTTACCTGTAGATTTAAATTTAAAAAATGTAACTTAGAAGTTACTGTTTTCCTCTCAATTTATTGTTCAATTTAGTAATTACATATTTTTCAAATGTGTTCAAATTTTAAAAAAAGAAGAATTTTTAACATTAAAGATAGGCAACCACGGAGGGTGACCTAGTCAAATTCAGTCCACAACACAACCATCTATCAAAGAATGAAGTGACAAGATAGATGATGGCTAACTACTGCTATAAACTAGTCCATTCTAGATGTTTTTATGTATATTTGACTATCAAGTGTTTACTTAACTGCCATGAAAATAAGAGGTCATCTGCAAACGCTTCTTCTCCATGAGCATGTACCTGCCTCAACAACACCAAGAAAAATTGTAATCAGACAGATTCTATCTACTACTAAACAGCAATTAACAATGCTACAAGCACCGTCTTCCTGTGGTTAACGTTTTTATTTGCAACTTATTACCTTGTATCCGACGAAAGACGCCTTTTGAAGACATTGGAAAAGCTGACAATTACAATATTTCCCGACTTTAAGACAAAGAATTCATCAGGATTCAGTACCCAGCAGTGTGAGCTCATCCACCAAAAGACGCAGATGCAAAGTGATGGATACAATAATTAATATATTAAATACAGGTACCGACATGTTTGCACAGTGCTTCATCTTGTTCGCAGTATATGAAAATCCTTCATAACTTCATTGCTTTATAACATGTGTAGTGCTTTATATAATTTCTGTATTTGCTATCATTTTGGGTGATTTATTAGAGGAACTTTAATTATTAAAATCAATGTTGTTCTGGTCTTTGTTAAAAAAAACACACCAAAAATACCAGTCTTATAGTTTGTTATGCAAGTAGAGCGTTTCGCCTACGTAGGACTCATCGTTGGCGCTCGAATCAAAATTGTTAGAAAGCCAAATCAAATACAAAGTTAAAGATCAGAAAGTAATTATAAAGTTGTTAGTGTAAATAATTGAAAGTGAAATTAATAATTTCCAAAAAAAATCCACAGCTTTTCGCCACGAGCGGTGTTCTAACTGACACTATTAGTGTCGACAGGCTAGAGATTACTGTAGATGAACTTCTTAGACAGCTCAACCACCGAGGCCCTTTCATCATAGTTAGTCATGGAATATATTCATATTAGAATTATCAAAACCATTATCAAACCATATTGATGGGTATGTTCGCTATACCTTATATAGTTGATTATAATTCATTTACGACTATTGCTCTGACATGACATCGCTTACCGTTAATGTAGTAGTTAACCGATGTTGAAATCTCATAAATCGATTCAGAAAATACGAATCAAGGTAACAAACAAAAACTTAGGGTACTACATGAACTCCAGGAGAAGCGATACAGGGTGCATCGACAAGCCAAATATCTCCTGCTATGCGTACTGTCAGTCATAATGTCACAATTGGGAATAGGAAAAAATCCGTTAAATGACAGATCAAAATTTATTCTGGTTTCTAAAGACCAAACAGAGCGAAAACATGTTTCTAGTGAGATGAGATACAAACACATCGTATCGGTCAGCCAATTCGTGAATGTGACAAAAGAAATTATGTAATGTTGATTTCAGTCGTTTTGCCTCATAACTATGTTGTTTCATTTGTTGTGTAAGTAGCACACCCCTGTGAATGAAGTCCGTATAGTGTGAACCTGCACGAGCGTAGCGTATTAATTGAGATATGTAAACGCCATACGATGGGTCATATGGTACGTCACAAGTGAAAATGGGAAGTTGACAATTTGAAAGTTGAATTCATCAACTTTGTCATAGAGTCTAGTTTTAGGTCGTCCATCTGCATCAGTATCGAGAAAAAGATCAAGATTTGAAGCAGATCTTCTTGTATAAGTAGTATTCTTAATCTTAAACTGTGATATATAAGATACTTGCACTCACTGAAATGTTGGTTATTGAGTGACAGAACATCATCAATATATCTGAAAGTGAAATTAATGAACTTTGCTTGATGCTTTTTTTCTTTTTGTCTTTGAGAAGGTTATGCATGCTTCATATGAATAAAAAAATAATTAGGCCAGTAGAGATGCACAATAAGTACCAATTGGATGACCGACTGTCTGTTGAAATATCTATACACCAAATCTTTGGTAATGTTGTACAGCCATGTATAAACTTCTGAATGTATTAGTTCTTAGCTTATAAGTCTTACAAATTTCAGTAAAAATATCTGTGACCCTTTTAATTTTTATTGACACACTTTTAATCCACTGAGAACTGAAGGTCGATTGTTCGTGTAAATTTTTGCTAATAAGTTGTATAAAGTTGGGTCATGCTTTTTAATCCATTCCCTGTTTTCCTGCTCGGTTCTACATACATGGTTAAAATCGCAGCTAAAAAAGAAACAGCTTGATTAAAGAAAATTTAAATCATATTAGAAATAACCTTTGAACTTGAATATGCAAAAACAACACATAATTCTGATATGGCAATGATATTTCAATGAAAATATGCGTATAAAATTGACTTTTACCATGAAATGAGCATCGATATCCACATTACAGCTATGTACTGTTTTATCAAGATATAATTTTCTCAATAGCTTAACCTTTTACAAAAAGCCACGCCAAGATTTAAGGTGTACATGTAACAATTATTGCGATTATTAGTATTGAAAGTAATAAGAAGAGCTATACTGTTAATTAAACAGTTTACAATTATAATTTATCCAGGTTAACACTTTATGTTTATACTTTCGTAATATTTCTTATTGATTCACATATGTTTTCACACTAACACCGGTTTTAAAGAGTTACATTAACAGTAGCCAGAAAGAAGTTGACATACACAAGTAAGGAATATAATGTTAATAATCCGTTTAGCGTTACAGTGTAAAATTCGATTCATAAAATAAATGTGGAAAGTTTGGGAGATGATGGTGGGCCATATGAGCAAATATAAACAATAATTAAATTGAGAATTTACATATTCAATCCACCAGTTGCACTTGTCGTCCTTGGTCGTATGGATACACGAAAGAAACTTGCAGAAGCTTCTGCCCAAAACTCTCTTGAATTTGAGGTAGCATAAGTATGGTCATGCCATGTATGATGTTGCTTGTCTTGATTATAGATATATTTCACCTACAGAAATATTAATAATAAAAACCTTCAATCATAAATAATATTCTGATTTTGATACTTACGTTATACATGTTTATATATTTACTGATTGATATATTGTTCAACATTTCATTTTTCTTCTTCTAAAATATTAGTTTTGAGCATAACGGATGAAGGTTATGCCAAAAACACGTGTTTTATTTCTACCCCTTAGTCGGCACCGCTGCTGGCCGACCACCTCTTACTTGAGTGTCAACACAGAAATCAACGCTTCTATACTGATATGACTTAAATAATATTTTATGTCTCTTAGTTTTCAGTTAGGTTAATATAAAATGTATTGTACTATAACTTAATAGGTCATAACTATGTTGACCTTATAAGGGTAGTTTTATCGTTCTGTGTTAGCCCTTTTCGTTTTAAGCGATCAAAAATTTTGGCTTCTTCTACTTTAATTTGTTCTCATGTGTTCATTTGTACCTTTTGCAGATTATTCCAGGAAAATTGTCTTTTACGAGTAAGTTTGATATAAAAGTATGTGACCGTATCCTGGAAAAATCACCTACCAAAGATCCCCATAAGGTCGCAATAACGATCCATATCTTATTTCACTTAATTTTAGCTCAGTGTTTAGTTTACTGATAACTTTCGTAAAAGAATTGTTTTGCAAGGAAACAAGTTTAAGCCAGTCTGGTATGATGTTTCCAATCTTGCATCATAAATGCATTGTTATCTTATTATTTTTAAATACGATATACATGTATATTATATACTGAAACCTATAATATAGTGTTATTAAATGACTGTTTCTGTATTGGCCCTGTTATAGATTCGAGGTTAGCAGTATTGGCCACGAGACTCGTAGAGTCGAGGGCCAATACAGCTGATCGAGAATCTATAACAGGGTCAATACAGAAACAGCCAGTTCATAACACTTTTATTAAATGATGTCATTAAATTCTTCGATTAAACCAAGAAACTTACCGGAAAAAAATATAGGAATTCATATCTGAACTTGTCTTTTCGCTATTACGATACATTATGAAATTTCCGATTTCTCGTCCAAGTACTTAATATTTGTTATTTCAATTCATTTTATCTAGAAAGTATAAAGAAGCTAGAAATAATAATTTAGACAGTTTACCCATTCTTACTCTTGAATCATCTGCGTTCTGATGATTAATCAACGGAAATTAAACAGTGATAATAATCGAAAGTTTTTCTCCAAAAGGCCGTTTCAGATCGTTACAAAACACGGAACATTATTTAAACTTTTTTTTAATGTAATTCAAAATTACATAATATGAAAATGTATCTTATGAATAACAATACGTCCAAAGTTAAGTAAGGCGTAAAAAAATAAAACCGGAAGTGAACGTCTCGTATTATCCCATGGACCAATACTGCTAAATAAATGAAACCGGAAGTGAACGTCCCGTATTAGCCCATGGGCCAATACGGCTTTTCCCGTATTGGACCGGTCTGAAAAGCAATATCAACTCATGCTTTATATTAACAGGGCAACGTCATCAGTATTGCACATGCTGATTTATCCGTATTAGGGCTGATTTGCTCATATCATTTAATAACATATAGTATTACCTTGTTTCTATCACTTGATGGCATGTAGTTATATACTTGATGTGCAAATTCGTGCACCAAAATATTCTCTAGACCGTGATGTGGGTCGTGTGAATTGCACAAAATGTTATCGTCAACAATACCCGATATACTGTTTGTAAGACCGTGCATATCTTCGTATTTTCTTCCGTCACTGTAACACGATTTTGAACAAACGGAACCAGAACACGAGTGACCTTCAATATAAAAATGAAGATTGTTTTAATAGTTTTAAATACAATGTAGCAGTTAAAAAGGATAAACTACTTCAAACAGAATGCAAACTTTTCTTAGACAATGGATTTGTTCAGCTCTACAAATAACTAGAACAATGTACACACAAAACTAAAAGTACAAAGAAGAAATAATGAAAAAGGCAACTCATCATTTCAAGACCTTAAATTAAGAAAATTCCAATGAATGCCAAACTTTTCATAAGGACGTTATAGCACACTGTACCCAGCAAAATAAAAAAAAAAACAATGACAAGAAAAAAGAACAAGCGACTAAATAGACGATAGAAATCATAACATTATAGGTCGGTAGTGCCACAAGACAGATAAAGTAATCAAATTATACCAAAACAAGCTACTAGTATTCAAAATTGTATACAAAACTGATAATATTAATCATGAGTTAAGGTCTTCCAATATTATTTCAAGCCAATTTCCATGCTTTATTTGGTTAAGAAATATTTCAAGCTTTATAATCGAAGTTGCTTATTTGTGTAACAGTGTAACTATAAACCTGTAATACATTGAAAGAACTTGATCATTAATAGTACTGATAAATTAACCGCGGTCAAAATAAGAATTCTAAGCTCTTTCTTGTTTCAAACCAGTACTACCTACCAGTAAGTAAACAGCGTGTTTTAAGGTAAAAATTCAACAGCTTTGAATAATTGTTTTCCAAAATTAACTTAAGTTGTAAACTTTAACATATGATATACTACAAAAGATGCTCGGATTTGCTTTATGTTTTCCTACAAGAACTAGAGTAAATTTCCCCTGTCCAGGGCCAAAAGCAGAAAGTTCTCCAAAATCGCTGTAATTTAAATATTGAAAAGCTTATACAATACAACATATTTCAACAGTTCAATTTAGATTTTAAGTATTCGAATTGATTACAATATGTAACGGAAAATCACAATGTATATATTGTATATCCATGATGGATACAAACTTACTACATCCAGCGGGAGACTTCAGGTAATTAAATTCAGGAAACACCGTAATTTTCTCTGGATCAGTAAATACACCGACGCCATGCCCTTTTGATGCTACACTTGTAAAAACTGAAGATGACATGTGTCGGGTCATTAGTCCAATTATTGTGGCTGCCTATGATTAAAGAAGAAATATATGTTTACTGTTACTTCACGCAGTAAGTGTTTCACTCTTTCAATCGCATTAAAATATCTAAACTAAATCCTTTTATTAACACATAAAAATTCAATGACATATACTTTAAGCTAATAGTCCAGCAGCTAAGTCCAATATATTTGCATAATTGATAACTATAAGGCAAAAAGCATGAAACTTTGCACAATGTAAGTTATGATGCTAAAGAACATTTTTGGATATGGAGCCACGAAAAAAAACTCTTGACAATTGACGAGAAAGAATCGAAGGTGGACGAAATGAAATTTTAATATCATTTTATAAAAGCCAAGATTTTTTTTTCTCGTTTTTATTTACTTAATCAGAGGTTAACATTTCAGAACGAAACATTTCAGCTTCGTTTGTCATTAAATTTAACGTTATAATGCACCCATGTTTGACAAACTCGTTAAACATCATCACAAAAGGCACAGTTTCTATTAGTTTCCACGATGTACACATTGTAATATATAATTCGAAAATTTATTAGCCGCGCGTTAGGTGGGTGCATTAAAAAAATTATTTTGTGGTTAAAATCACTCCACCAAAGTTGAATAGCATTGAGAAAACAATGAAAACAATGAAAACATTCAGTGAAATTTACTTTTATTTAGAATATGTTCAAATTAAGTTTTTAATTATGAGATAATCAAATGTAATCTGTCCACTTTTATAGAGTTATCCTTATTTATATGTCTCAATATCTCTTTAGCATAAAAGGGGAATAGATCATATCTGATAAATCCCGAAGTTAAAGTATTATCTTACTTTACAAAAATACTGGACTAGTTTCAAATTTTGCAAAGGACAATCTAAAATATCTAATTTAAAAATACTTTAAGCTAAAATAAACTTTATGGATTAAATTACGAGAAAAAAAATAAAATAACCATTACTTCAAGTTAAAATATTTTCATATTCTGTTGAAAATATCTTCCACCTGTACCAAAAATAAGACATAAAACTAAAAACTAAAATAGTGAACATATATTATTTATATACCTTTTCTTAATACAGGAATAATTTCAGTGTTAAGTTGATACGACCCAATGTAATGACTATTTAAATAAGGGCGATCATACATTATATTAGATAAGCACCCTCTTAAAGTTTAGAAAGCACTATTTATAGATATAATCTTTAATTTGGCGGCCATATTGAATATTTTTCGTGGCTCCATATCAAAAAATGTTCGTAAGCATCATAACTTCTACTGTGCTAAGTTTAATGCTTTTACCTTAAAGTGATCAATTATGCAAATATATTGGACCTAGCTGGTGGACTATCGGCTCAAAGTATATGTCATTGAATCTTTTATGTGTAAATAAAAGGATCTAAGTTTTCTGTAAAAAGATTGAAATAATTTTAGAATGATAGAATGAACAGTAAAATTGGACCTTTTAAGTTTGCTAGCCATTAAAAATCCCTATTTTACATTGATGTGAAATTATGGCTTATGCATTAATTACAATTCAACTTTGTAATAATCATATAGACAGCAAATATGTATCTTTATTTATATGCAGTATTTACACTGTAAACATTTTGAATGTAGAAATTATTTAAAGAAATGTAATTGAAACATAGAAACACTTTTTGGCACAACAAAAGTTTTTGCTTTTTAAATATAACATTTTACAATGTGTCAAAACATTCACAACTCTCTTTGCATGAGGTATGTAACTCCATAGTTACAAAAAAGTTATCTTGTGTAATCAACTATGATTGTTAAAAATCATAAGAATGACTTTCTGAGATAACAGACATGTATACGATAAGGTAATTTTTTTCACAATTGGAAGATTCTCATTTTTTCTCATTTAATTTACAAACAGGACTATGATCCCATTGTTTTCTTCATTAAAGGTTATGTTAAATATATATTTTATGATCTTTATATATTTTTGTAGTGTAGTTTGTACCTTATGGAATGCTAAAGATCCAACAGCTTGAGTAGCAGCAATAGTAATGGTTGGTGAGCTAGTATGAGATGAATGAGCTCGTCCACTACTGTCCACATATAAATGTTTAAAACCTGCACGAAAACCATGTAAGAATAACGGCTTCGGGGGCAAGTAAGGCTTCAGTTCTACTTTTCCATCTGAAATTTCTCTGAAAATGAAATAAAGTTTAATTTTACAATAAAGAAGTATAATTGCCTTATGTCCGATCGAAATGTGTACGTTAAATCTGATTTTTCAAGTGGGAGAGTGACATTCTATCTGCACGTTAAAGAGTCATTGTAATAAATCTTTGATGGGTTTGTGATGAATATGCATAAGATACTTGTCACTGTAGATTAAGACAGCCTCCGATCAATCTTAAAAAAAAATAGTTTAACCCTATCTTATGTTCATGTAAAAATAAGAAGATGTAATATAATTGCAAATAAGACAGCATTCTACCAGAGACTGAATGACGCGTACGAGGACGTAAACAAATTCATTTGAAGAGGTCATCGTACGCTCACCGTTTTTGCCTGTCCCAAGTCAGAAACCTCGTCAGTGTTATGCATTGAGTATTTTTGTGTGTCAGTTATTTAGGAAATCATTTGTTGATGGCAGATCATTGATAATCTCGGTCTGTTAAAGTTATTTGTTTTTTTTAGACTCGAGGGAGAGGTATAGAGAATGGTAAATTGTATATACACTTTTTTATTGTTACTGAAAGCATGTTGTGTTCTATATGTCCTTTTGTTTTTGTGTCGTTGGGTTGCTGTCTTCTTACCTTAGGCCCTACATTTATATCTCCTTCTTATGGCTGTTTTTTTTTTTTTTTTTTGGCATCCAATGCTTGTGTCAATTTTTGTACTAACATGTAGTTTATAACTCATTATCGAGTTTTCTATTCAATCATATATTGCCTTTGTAAAGTGGCTAATTAAGTCTCCCAAACGAAGTTTGGGAAGACTTATTGTTTTTGCTCAGTTCTTATTATTATTATTATTATTATTATTATTATTCCTCTTCCTCTTCCTCTTCCGCCGCTTTTAAATTTGAACTTGTCCGCACCCGTTCTCCAAAACCGCTTGTCAGATTAACTTAGGGTTTCACAATATGTTAGACTAACATGTCTAGTGGTGCAATCAGGGTTTTGTTTGTGCAATGGGGTTTATAAAGGGGTCCTTTGAGGGGCAAAAAGAAAAGAGGGTTTTACTATAGAACCCTATGGGATTTTATTTTTTAAAATTTTCAAACGATTATAAATTGAAAACCGTTTGTGATAGACACAATCTTTTTAATTGAAAATGTTCTAAATGATAAAACCCATTAAATGAAATACAGGGTTAGCCCCCAGGGGTCACCCCCTCCCCCTGCCATTTAAGAAAGTTCTAATACCTTGTAAGTGGTCAAGATCCCCACCCCTAAACCATATATATTCTGGTTTGTCATGCTAAGATGGTTTGAATGATATACAGGGTTAGTCCCCAGGGGTCATCCCGACCCCCTGCCATTTGAGAAAGTTCTAATATCTTGTAAATGGTCGAGATCCCCACCCCTAAACCATATATATTCTGGTTTGTCATGCTAAGATGGTTTGAATGATATACAGGGTTAGTCCCCAGGGGTCGTCCCGACCCCCTGCCATTTGAGAAAGTTCTAATATCTTGTAAATGGTCGAGATCCCCACCTCTAAACTATATATATTCTGGTTTGTCATGATAAAGCACATGAAATGAAATACAGGGTTAGTCCCCAGGGGTCACCCCCACCCCATGCCATTTAAGAAAGTTCTAATATCTTGTAAGTGGTCAAGATCCCCACCCCTAAACCATATATATTCTGGTTTGTCATGCTAAGATGGTTTGAATGATATACAGGGTTAGTCCCCAGGAGTCATCCCGACCCCCTGCCATTTGAGAAAGTTCTTATATCTTGTAAATGGTCGAGATCCCCACCCCTAAACCATATATATTCCGGTTTGTCATGATAAAGCAAATCAAATGAAATACAGGGTTAGTCCCTAGGGGTCACCCCCACCCTATGCCATTTAAGAAAGTTCTAATATCTTGTAAGTGGTCAAGATCCCCACCCCTAAACCATATATATTCTGGTTTGTCATGCTAAGATGGTTTGAATGATATACAGGGTTAGTTCCCAGGGGTCATCCCGACCCCCTGCCATTTGAGAAAGTTCTAATATCTTGTAAATGGTCGAGATCCCCACCCCTAAACCATATATATTCTGGTTTGTCATGATAAAGCAAATCAAATGAAATACAGGGTTAGTCCCCAGGGGTCACCCCCACCCTATGCCATTTAAGAAAGTTCTAATATCTTGTAAGTGGTCAAGATCCCCACCCCTAAACCATATATATTCTGGTTTGTCATGCTAAGATGGTTTGAATGATATACATGGTTAGTTCCCAGGGGTTATCCCGACCCCCTGCCATTTGAGAAAGTTCTAATATCTTGTAAATGGTCGAGATCCCCACCCCTAAACCATATATATTCTGGTTTGTCATGCCAAGATGATTTGAATGATATACAGGGTTAGTCCCCAGGCATCACTAATGCATATAACTTTACTGGGCCAAATCAATTTTCACTGGACTTTGCCCAATGTCAGGCGACCCTGGGAATTACGAATTATGGGAGCTTCGTTTGGGAGACTTCGTAACAGCATCCTGTTACAATCATTTCTTGTTTGATCAAGGTCATGTTTTTTTTTTCCTTTTTTGTTTTAATGCAATGTCAATACACCTTGTCAATTTTCACGATAACTCGTTGGTGACAATAGCTTATATTTTTTTAACAAAGAAGAATAACACAAACATACTTAACCCTTGTGAATAAAACTTAATACATTTTTCACAAATATCCATTTCAATCCAAATTGCTGAAGACATCTTTTATACTGATTACTTGTGTACTTAAATTCATGTTTAAATTGTCTCTTCTATAGGATTTTATTTGTCACTCATGAATTGTTTTTATATGGATTTTTTTTTCAGTTCCGCCATTATCATGTTCATTTTACCAATTAATAATATGCTAACTTTTATCTAAGTTATCACTTTAATCACCAAAACATATGATTGCAATAAATTTATATGGTATTTTTAAGTCGATAAAAGAGGAACTATAAATTATATTAGGAGTGGTGGTATGATTGCCCATTCCAATGAGATGTCTATCCACTAAAAGACACAAGGACAACTACAGAGCACCGCACGGTCTATCAACAACGAACAAAGCCCACATCGTATAGTAAGCTTTTTAAGATCTACAATAAATCAAATCTGTATTTCTATAAAATAGTTTAGTCAAGTTTGTAAGTAATATGTGAGTACCTAATCCCTAACTGAACTATTTACAAGTCATTCATAGACTGATAAGCTGTTTTTTAATTTAGAACAGAATGTACACGAGATCTAATCTACCGATAATGAATTAAGATATTCAAATACCGCAATTCCTCGTCTGTAATTGGAGGAAGTATCCCATGTGTGCCTGAAAAAAATAAATTACAGTCTTGGAGTGTTGAGTTCATGGTAGCTCTTTCATGGTCTGTATCAATGAATTCCTTTTCAAATGTTCTATATTCGAGTTGATGTAGACTACGATAATTGTTGAACCCCGTATATTCTCCTCTAGATGTGCATAAACTCAATGACATTATAGATACCGGGATTAAATTTTGTACGCCAGACGCGCGTTTCATCTACAAAAGACTCATTAGTGACGCTCAAATCAGAAAAGATTTTTTTTAAAAGGCCAAATATGTAAGAAGTTGAAATGCATTGAGGACCCAAAATTCCGAAATGTTTTGCCAAATACATCTAAGGTACTCTATTCCGGGTAGAAAATCCTTAGTATTTCGAAGAATTAAAAGTGTTGTAAACAATTAATTTATAATTATGACCATGTCACTGATAATTCATGTGAACACAGAAGTACTGCCTACTAGGCTGGAAACCTCCACTAGCAGTTGCATCGACCCAGTTTTAGTATTGTATCACTGGCTTGCTTCTCATTGACACACATCTCCCTTTATTTATATGGTGACATTTTTTTAATGTATACGAAAAGAAAACATTAAAATGAAACAATTCTAGGTGTGTAGAAACAAGAAATTGATTAAGAAAACATAATGTATACTTAAAATGAAGCAGAAAGAATATTAAACAATAAATTTTAATCAACGCAAAATTACATCAAAGTGTGTGATGTTAATTATAATTTCAATGTTTTTGTAAATAAAATTGTCTGTAGCGTTGAAAATAATATATGATATTGCGTAATAACACAAATAACAATTTTTATTAGAAAAATAATAGAAGCACAGCTTAAAAGTAAACAGACAAATCTTTGGTCCATTAACAGGAATTAAGAAGTATATCTTTGAGTTTATTCATATGGTGTATCGGATAAAGAGTTATTTGCTTTTTTGTCTGCAAATATAAAGCGAGATAAACTGTTTCTTGGTCTCTCTAAACATTAGATCTAAAGGATTTTAAAAAAGGTCGATGTCCAATCATGTATATGGTTTGTTTGATTGATTGATTGATTGATACGCGCTTTACGCCGCCTCAACACAAATATGCTATATCGCGGCGAGTATTTATATGGTTCATAATCTTTATCACATTAGATTACAACAACAACTTCATTCATAGGCAAAATTAATATTCATCTAACAATATGCTATATACAACTGCCCAACTTGATACAAAATCATTCGAACTGTTTAGTGAGAACTTATTTTCAGTCGTATAAGGCTTTGTGGTTGACACATATATGGCAGTTTGCGTTGTGATCTAGGAAACCAAAATATAAAATGTACTGAAAATAAATAAAGCCCTTACCCAGAAACAGAAATGTTACCAGAAAACATGTATAGGCTATCATTGCTGTGTACGTCTACGTATACAGAGTAACCTGGTTCTTTATCAACATGTCAGTAGTTTCTTATCAACAAGCTTAAAATAGGTTAAGATACGTTACTTTTAATAACCAAATTAATGTAAAGGAAGAGTCAGTCACTGTATTTCAAAGCAATTCATTCGATTTACGCACGTTTCAACCCAGTACAGTTTTTACTTGTTGTACTTGTCAAATGTTTTTATAGATATCTCGACAATGCTCTTTGATTCTCTTCATCCGTTCACAGAAATACAATTGCAAACTTTTAAGGTATTGGTGTATGTGATGGTGTAAATTTTCATATAATCGCTCTTTCTTCTTATTACATTGACCATGCATTTTTTTATGGAAATAAAGTAGAAAATGAAGGGAACTATATCTTTTTCTACGCATTTTCAACTGTTTTGATGTAACGTCATGTGGCTTGACAAGACACATTGTTGTATGATGTCAGAGGAGTGAAATGGTCAAATTTATTTCACGTGTGAAATTATCGGTTTTTATTTCACTGGGAAATATTGGTAATTCTTTGTAATCAATGCAATAAAGACAATACAATACTGCCATGATAGGAGTACAATCAAGCTATTTCTGACTTTAATCTGACAATTAAAATCATTTAACCTTTCAACAATTGCAAAGCGGTACCATTAAATTGTTCTTCTTTTTTTGGTATCCATACCAGTTTTCAAACTTGACGAAACAGTGCATTAACCAGAACGGTATACTTTATCAGTTGTTAGAATAATCTGAAGAAATGTATTGTTATATAAACGACAGTCAATCTATATATTGGTATATTAGGAAATACATGACATTTATTCATACCATACAATGGAAAATCGCTGTTTAAGCCTCGGTTTAATTTTCATATTAGGACTAATAGGTAACCTTTTCCTTAATGTTTTGTGAAGAATCGCTCCCTAGTATTTGCATGAATTACATATGTTAAAAAAGTGGTCTAACTGACAAACGTTTTCATCTAACAAGACTAGTTAATATTTTGATTAATTTCAGACAGTATAAATGCAGCATGTCCTCAGAGATGGACCCACATGGGCGACTCATGTTATTTCTTTAATGGCGACAAAATGACATGGCATGATGCTATGGTATGTAGATTTACAAGTTAGATGTTTCTAATAACTATGATGTACCAATGACAACTTTACGATCAGTCATTAACATTTTTAAATATTAACAATGATTATTGACAGGCCAAGGAATACTGTATATTTTAATTAGGCGACAAGTACATAGAAATAAGAAGATTACATGTATGTTTTTGTTTTTGTTTTTTTTTCTTTTTAAACTTTTGTCTATTTATAAAATAAATGTATTTTTTATTTACATGCATTTTCTTGTGGTAAAATCAATACTGTTCAAACATTTTGCTTGGTGTCAATCAAATACTTTCACTTTTCAGACATTTTAGTAATCATTATTTTGAAAAAGTATATATAACAATTACTGTACATTCTGATATGATTCAGCGAAGTGTATAAACACTACTAAATTTGGCCACATGACCAAGGTATGCTTAATAATAGGTCATCATACGACCTTCAACAATAAACAAAACCCATACCCATGGTAAGATATCAAAGGCCCTAGTATGACAAAATGTGAAACAAATCAAAATACTAAATCAATGAAAGACACAATATCCGAAAAAATAAACGGAAAACAAATAATGCATACAGCAACCAACGACAACTACTGCATTACAGGTCTCTTATACCTTGGCAAGAGATGTAAAAACACAACCTAAGAATAAATAGATAAAAAGGTAGCAAAGAGTTTGTCTCGGTCCTACGCACAAAAACAAATAACAAAAGACTCATACGATCAAAAGTATCGATCTAAGAGTACACGCTGAAATTAAAGTTACTTTAATGCCAAATTTGAATTAACAAATAAACCATCGGTTCCAGGATTAAAATATATTTCATTCAGTACACCGGCAGTATTTTTAGTTTAAAGACGTCCTAAGCAGTCTGAGAAAAGCATGACATGGAGGAATGCCAAAATATATATACGACAGGATGTAGGACAAATGTTTAGGCTTTGCTTTTAATTCTAATAATTAAACTTATTATGTATCAAACAACTAAAAATAAAAACAATGTAAGTACCAAAAAATATAATATTTAAAGATCTTATTACAATTTCAAATTGACAACTTGTAAGAATATTATGTTATTTAAAGAAACAATAAGCTCATATTGATCGTTTCTTAGTTTACTAGTTCTATAAACAACGTTGCAGTAATTTATAAACATAATGGTATAAAATGGTTATTTTAGACGAACATTCGTTTTTTAGAATAAGCTTTCATGCAATGTCGGATAAACAAATGTCAGAAAACAGTCGATGAGATATGTCTTCCCGAAAAATTGTGATATACTTTTTGTTTCCAAAATCCAATTCTTTATATCTATGTAAGAATCCAGTTAAATTTTTAAGTAATTTGTAATAACAAATTTCCTGATTTGAAAATTTATCAAGTTTACATAGGTTACTTTCATTGAAATCTAAAACGTCACTACAGACACACACAAGCATAGCAAATGAAGTGGGAAATATGCGCACCGTTTGAAGACGTAAAAAGAATAATCACCGCCCACGAAAGGAAAATTGGCTATAGGGAACGAAAAAGATTGTAAAAATGTAAGACAGAAATGATATTCAACAAAATCAGTCTTCATTACTAGAGTATTGTCGAGACATACGAATCCATAAATCCAAAAAAGAAATAATCACCGCCAAAGAAAGGAAAATTGGCTATAGGGAACTGAAAAGATTGAAATAAATGTAAGACAGAAATGTTATTCAACAAAATCAGTCTTCATTACTAGAACTACTAGAATATTGACGAGACATACGAATCCACAAATCCAAAAAAGAAATGATCAAACCTAGTTTAATTTTCACCAGGAATACTTAGAGTAAATCGAAGATTGATGAATTTTTTTGTATAGTATAAACCTTAGCATTGTAATTAATGGTTTTCATAATTTTCTTTACCATACATATGGAACTCTACTTTCAGGAGTGGTGTACATCTAAGGGCGGATATCTGGCTGAAATAAACAATAAACAGGAAAGCGACCAGCTCGAAAAAGTAGCAGCTAGTTGGCATTTGGTAAATAACTTTCAATAATTGTACTACTTCAAAATCATAACTTCAAAATAATTATGGATTCCATTGAGGACTACGCCAGAGCATGGGCTAAACGAGAAGAAGTTGAACTGGACACTTTGTCAGAATAGGTCAAAACAATCAGGTCTCTGATAAAACGTCGAATTCATCAGTTGAAAAACTGAGTAAATGATCGACCAAAGTCCGTTTTCAGAGACAAAAAAGCTGTGAGATGTCTATCATCTCTTCACTATAAATATGTTGGTGTTCCTGCCGACAAAGCTTCAAACAATATTGTCTTTGTATGTAAATCGTACTACTACGAGTGTCTTGTAAAAGAATTATGAATAAATTAGCACTCAGGAATCCCACATACAAAACATATCATTTGACCAGGATACGATTTTAGCCAATCATAAGTCCTTCATGGCTTCAATGAACATTACATTGAACAGCAAATCTGAAGACTTACTTTGTTTGTTTTGGATACCTAAGCTTCACAAAGTTCCATAAAAACAACGGTACATTGACGGCTCATCTGCATGTTCTACAAAGTTTTGTCCATTAAATTGACAAAATGTCTGTCTGCAGTGAAAGAGGGTCTTCAGAAATACTTCGAAACTGTTTACTCGCGTAGTGGTATTAACCATATGTGGATTCTAAAAAGCTCTTAAGTATAAAAAAGAAGATGTGGTATGATTGCCAATGAGACAACTCTCCACAAGAGACCAAATGACACAGAAATTAACATGATAATGGAATATGTAAGAACTTCTTGATAATTTTAAATCTCGATCTTTCTCTGAAATTAATTTTTGATTTTCAACCCTGTATACCACCATTCCCCATGTGAATTTGAAAACCCGTCTAAAAGAAATAATCCACAATGCTCTTCAACATAAAAATGGTAGCATACGCTATAAATTTATTGCTTTGGGATACCATACGGCATATTTTGTTAATAGTGAACAAAAGGTAAAACATGCTACACAGAGGAACAAGTGATCAGTATGCTGGAGTTTCTTCTTGGCAACATATTTGTTGAATTTGGAGGTAGATGTTTTCAACAAATTGCCGGCATTCCTGTGGGAACGAACTGTGCTCCTCTCTTTGCCGACCTCTTCTTATTTTCGTATGAGTCGGAAACCCTCAGACACTTGTCAAAAACAAGAAGATCAAAGAAGCTAGATCATTTAATTTCACATTCAGATATATTGATGATGTTCTTTTCATTAACAATCCAAACTTTTTCTGATGGGGTTCCAATAATATATCCTCCAGAACAGAACTAGAAATTACAGAAACAACAGACACGGCTTCCTCTGCCTCATTTTTAGACTTATACCTCGAATTTGACATATGCGGTCATCTCAGTACCAGAATCTATGACAAACGAGACGATTTTAATTTTGAAATTATAAATTCCCCCCTTTACTGTTTAGTCCATTTTTGGTAATATACTTTTGGCGTGGCTCGGTACTTATACATCCCGCCATTGTATTATTGTGCTATGGTCAATTTTGTATTCTTGTCTTTCATTTTTGCTTATGTACTTTGTGTATAGAGTGTCTATATGCCATTTTTTTCTCTCTGTTGAAATAGTTATTTGTTTTTATAGTGATTAAGATTACATTACAATGTCAACTGATGTATCCCAATTTTTGACATTTTTATCTATTATGTCTGTTTGTTTTGCTCACACATTGTTGTCAATATAATGGAATTGTATGCGACTGTCATACAAGTAAGAGGTTTAGCTAGCTATAAAACCAGGTTTAATCCACCATTTTCTACATAAGGAAATGTCTGTACCAAGTCAGGAATCTGACAGTTGTTATTCATTCGTTTGATGTGTTTGAGCTTTGGATTTTGCCATTTTATAAAGGACTTTCCGTTTCGAATTTCCTTGGAGTTGGGTATTTTTGTTATTTTACTTTCTACTCCTTTTTGCTTGCTCCACACAATAAACAGACTGTCTGGGTTTTGCTCATTGTTAAAAGCCGTACGTGATTTATTGTTGTTACATGTAACTTCTGCGTCATTTGGTCTATGGTGGAGATCGAGTTGTCTCATTGACAATCATACATGTACCACATCTTCTTATTTCCACAGTGTGTACTTTTGAGAAAGTTACTACAAATTGCTTCTTGAAGATGTGATGGAAACGTGGTTTTATCATTAGCTGGGTTCCTTCCTTTAAAATTATAATAATGTATTTAGTTGATCATTATCATTAATACTAGCAGTAGTAGTATCAAGTCAACTTGAACCCTTTACATCGACAACTGTATTTTTGCTACCATTTTGTCAGTTTGTAAATCATTGTTACTTAGTATCTCGTTTTATTTTTGCAGGGAAACATTACACAATATGTAAGTAAAATTGTACAAACTAGATATGAATGATATTTACAATAGCAGACAATATCCAAATACTTCGTTTTCTCCTTTTTTCACTATAAATTCATCGAAAGGTATTTTTTGTTGTGTTTATTTTTTAAATCGATTAAACGATGTATTGATTGTTGGTTCCTCACTTTCTTGTTCAATCTAAAATGTATTTACACTGCATTTTGATACTGAATATTGCTACATTCTAATTGTATAATTGGTTTGATCATCTATGTATTTTCAAAATCACTATTCTATGCACATATTTTTATTGGTATCTATTTTACTATTTATTACCACTATTATAACTGTTGGTGTTCTATTGCGTCATCATTATGTACTACATACTTTTTTTTTTAATCACAAATTTTATTTAAACGATTGTTTGAAATACTTGTCATATTGATTTTAAGTTTCATACATGACATTTACACTTTTGATCATACGTGTTTGTACCACAGGAATTTTATTGGTTAGGAGCTCATGATGAACAAACAGAGGGTGTCTGGGTTTGGGAAACTAGTCAGAAAAGTCTTTCTTATACCGACTGGTATCCAGGTGAACCAAATAGTTATGCTGGGCACGAAGAAGATTGTTTAGCCCTTTTCAGTCTCACAAGATTTCACTGGGTAGACTATGAATGTCATAAATTGACAAATTTTATTTGTGAAAGTCCGTAAGTTCTAAATATATGTGTGCCGTAGCTTTTAACTATATTTATCGTGAAATTTAATAAACTGGGTTTATTGCTGGAACTTTTTTATTAATATGAATTAGAAGAAATGTAATACGCCTTATTGGTTGATTGTTTGAGATTTCAATCTGCATGAGTTCACATAAAATTTGTCTTGAAATGGCCAAGTAAATGTCAAAATGACATTATAATTTAATCCGAATAATAAAGATTTATCACACATTCTACATTCCTTCATTGTTTTTCTATATTGTCAATAATAATAAAAACATAGACGACCATATGTCTGATAACGATGATTCAAGCGCTAGTGATAAGTCTTATGTAGACTAAACGCGCATCTTGCGTACTAGATTATAAGCCTGGTATATTTGGTTTGAATTGCAAGCTTTGTTAAATATATTTATATAAAAATTGAATGTTAATAATCTTTCATTATATCACAATGTAAGTAAATACTTCAAAACAATAATCAACTTACGTACTCAATTCATAGGAAGTTTAAAAAATACCAAATATTACAATTTTAATGATTGTTATGAATATATCATAAAATGATGCAGCCACATGCCTAATAGAAACTTAGGTAATAGACGTGTAAGATGTTTTCAATAAAGATGCAATTGTTATATATGAGTTCTATGTCACTTTTCAGCTTCTTAGAGACATCGACAATGGCGTCAACAGAAGGCAATTAAAATATAATCCAATCTTGTTGCTCAGTCTTTAGTTTTAATGTAGTGTTTTGTAGACTGGCTTTTTTATTACATTCCTCGGCTATGTACATGTATATAGTTTAGTTGAAGTAGCTGACCAGAAATTTTGAAGATCATAATAAATACTATAAATCAGCTTGATTCTGAATTTTTACAAGCTTTAGCTTTATCATTTATGATAACTATTGAGAAAGCAAAATAACTTTGAATCTTTCACAAAATACATAGGATAAATGGCGAAAAGTGGCAAGTATTTACATTTTTGCCAAATTCGAAAAGCTGTTTAAACCATGTTATATGTAACATGACATATTACGGTCACACTCTCTAAAAGACACGATTGATATTGGTATGATTACTTGTAAGGAATGTCTTCGCTAGGTTTTTGTATGAACAAGTAAAGGAAAGAGTTTCGTAACCAACCTAGTTTTTAATCCCAGGTATATATCATCACTATAAACAACCTAATGTCATGCTTTTCAAAAGTGGTATTCAGATATTGAATATACCCGACACGTGTGGAGTTAATAAATCTTTTCGAAGTTACATTTTGATGTTAATACTAGCTGTAGTTGCATATTTGATAAACGAACAAACTACTTAAAAGCTTAATATTTCAGACGGTAGAAGACCTGGATGCTTCATACTTTGTATATAGATTCCTTTTGTTATGAAGTTTCCGTCTGTCATATGTCCATTGTCCTTGACCTCATTGTCATGGTTCAGTGACTACTACGAAAAAAAGTTAAGATTTTTTGTAATGTTAATTCCTCTCTTATTATGAGTAATAGGATAACTATATTTGGTATGTGCGTACCTTGCGAAATCCTCATGCCTGTCAGACAGTTTTCATTTGACCTCGACCTCATTTCATGGATCACTAAACAAGGTTAAGTTTTTGTGGTCAAGTCCATATTCCAGATACTATAAGCAATAGGTCTACTATATTTGGTGTATGGAATGATTGTAAGGTGTACATTTCCAACTGGCAGGTGTTATTTGACCTTGACCTCATGTTCACGGTTCATTGCTCAATGTTAAGTTTTTGTGTTTTGGTGTTATTCTTAAACTATAAGCAATAGGTCAACTGTGTTATTCTCAAACTATAAGCAATTGGTCAACTATATTTGGTGTATGGAATGATTGTAAGGTGTACATGTCTGTGGCAAATATCCTCTGATCTTGACCTCATTTTCATGATTCATTGGTCAATGTTAAGTTTTCCTGGTTAAGTTTGTTTCTTAGATACTTTATGCAATAGGCCAATTATATTTGATCCATGGAATGATTGTAAGGTGTACATGTCTATTTGACAGAGTTCATCTGACCTTAACCTCATTTTCATGGTTCATTGGTTAATATAAAGTTTTCAAGGTTTGATCTGTTGCTTGTATACTATAAGCAATATGTTCGGCGAATGGAATGATTGTAAAAAATTGAAAACAACACGTAAGGTGCACATGTATATTTCTGGGTTGGTTTATCTGACTTTGCCCTCATTTTCCTGGATCATGTTAAGTTTATGTGATACATGTTGTTAAAACTTAGGACTATCAACATAAAATCAATGCTCTGTAAAGCAGGCGAGACATTTCAGCGGGTGCACTCTTGTTAATAATTTTGTATAAAATCATAGGGTGTTTAAACTACTTTTTTATATTCAAATATCCTCGCATGGGATAAATATTTGCTTGAAATCAATTCTGAAATAAAAAAAACATGTGAAATCGAACAATTCTTTTCAGAACGCATCATTATAACATCTTATGGTCACGTTTTCTCTGGAACTGATGATAACTCTTTTTTGTAACAATATTTTACATATATATCAAATCAACCCATCGTACATGCGAACACTTTTAGTAGGTACTCGGTTCTGTTTATCCAATGCAATAAATGAAATGATGGAAATATAATTGCGGAATGCGTCAATCAGACAGCAACCCAACGAAACAAAGAATAAAATAACATATAATTTAAAACGTGAAGTCTTCAATAAGTCCATACAGTTTGTCAAGCTCTGAATCGCACTGACTGCGGATAGCCTCAAATAGATATAACAGAGACTATCAAAGATCTTCTATCGACTCAAAATACCAAAGAGAATGAATACAATAAGATATAACACAAGAAATCCAATTTTGATCTAAATCGGTCATTTCAATCTGTTAATTTTCATACTTATATACTGCCATAAATTCAGTATTGTTGAAAAAAATCGCTTGCAGTCAATTAAGATGTGTTCAGTCTATGTTCATACTGTTGTTGTAGATGTTATTTACTTCATCAACGTCAAACTGAATTGTCTAAAAAATCTACTGAACAGTACTGAATTTACCGCAGTGGATAAATCTGAAAATTGAATGAAAAGCTGACATGACTGAATAATTAATTGTTCAGACTTATATATTCAAAATTTTTTACTAGGGTAACTAAGTCAAACATAAAGATAACCACTAAATACGTTGTTTATGTGGGATAACCGCATGACTGTATGGTAAAAACAAGTTTTTCGCCACAAGTCTTTATAATTATTACATGATGAGCGCTCCTAATAAATGTTATTTCAGAACCACGTGTCATGTTCTCTGAGATGAATGTTGTCCGTTTGAATTATCTCGGGTTGAAATCATTGCTGGTTAACCAGAATACAATCATCCCACTTACAAGTATTTCCGTACTAGGATTGCACCACAAACATTCATCATTATATCTGGAAAAAGATTTTAACAAGTTGTATTTATTTTCCTTATCCTGTGATTGTCTATTGGATATGGCTGTATGGATGGTTCTATTGAACTTTCATACAAGGTTTTACTGTCTATGTGATATGGCTGTATAGATGTTTCTATTGAACTTTTATACAAGGTTTTACTGTTTATTGGCTATGTCTGTATGGATGTTTCTATTAAACTTTCATATACATGTGTTACTTATAAAATTGAGAATGGAAACGGGGAATCCGTCAAAGAGACAACAACCTGATCAAAGAGCAGAAAACAGCCAAAGGCCAATAATGGGTCTTCAACACAGCGAGAAAATCCAGCAAGCGGAGGCGGGCTTCAGCTGGCCCCTCAACAATAATATATACTAGTTCAGCGAAAATGGACGTCACACAAAACTCCGAAACATATAAATGAACCAATTTTTTTTTTTAAATACAAGACTAACAAAGGTTATATGAATAGAACGAGACGGGAACTAGCAAAAACATAATGAATATGTTTCCATATAACGGATTTTTCATTGTTAAAGACTTTTCGGTGTTACATGCTCATCAGGAAATATTGATAAGCAAATAAGTATTCAGTATCTTTGAAATATTAGGCAATTCTACTTTGAGATGAAGATTATACCTTGTATGCGTATATGAAAGAATATAAATACCAAAAAGTTTAGTTACAAAAAATTGGCACATTTTCTCGTTTGAATTCGTTTGCATTTTTCATTTCGAAACCTTTTATAGCTTACTAAGCAGTATGGGTTTTGATCATTGTTGAAGGCCGTACGGTGACCTATATTTACTATCTTCTACGTCATTTGGTCTTTGGAGGAGAGTTGTATCAATGGCAATAAAAACACATCTTCTTTTTTTTATTTAGACTTATCGCTGTTTAAAATAAAATTTGGTAGTAGCACAGACTACAAACTACAACCTTTTGTATTTTATGGTAAACGTTAGAATGAATATAAGATAAATTCTTTATTTCAGACTCAAAATGTCCATATGTATACATGACAACAAATATTCTGTCTAAACAGGACACAATGTTAAAATATTTACAATATTAATATAAGTTAAAAATCAAGGTATAACTCATTGTATCATACTCTTAACAATGTTGAAGTATACAATAAATCGCTTCTGAGAATTGTAATAACCAAATGTTTTTTAAATATTTGCAAGCGATTTAAACAAACTAAACATTGACTTTCGTATTACTTCATTTATGACATACACATTACTACCACTACATTTATATTGAGATCCCATCATAATTCTGAAAGCATTATTATACAGTAATCGCATCTAACTTACATTTTTACCATAAAGATTAACAACAGACATTCATACAATAAGACTGAAAAAAATTGAATCGTAACGCTCGTAGAACATTTGCTAAATTTTCGCTTCAATTTATTAATTTTCCTGCATATACTGCATATATTGTCTCTATATTTTACAATCATCATTTTTAAATCATTACAAACCATATGTCATAGATATTTGAATTCATCAACAATTTCTAATAAATTGTTTCACATTGTAAATAACATTTGGGCATATTGTAAATCTGCATATACTTTGTTTGAAAAATCAAACATAGATTTCTTGACATTAAATAAAACACCAATATCATCAGCAAATTCTTTACAAATAGATAAAAGTTTTCTAAACCCAGTAACTAACGGGCTCATTATACACATATCATCAGCATAACTATAATTATTTAAGGGTGTTTTATTCAAATAACAACCAACATTAGCCTTTGCTAGTCTGTTAGTCCTGTATGTGAACTGACTAGAAATACATTCTCCCCATCTAAATATATCGGATTTTCAAACCAATTCATTACAAAACGAATAATGTAGCTTCGGAATGTCTCATTTTAACAATTTGTGAAGTATTACTCTATCAAAGCCTTTTTTATATCTAAAAACAAACATGCAACTACTGCATGAGCTTCCATGATTTCCATAAAAAGTTACAATTATTTTAAATACAAATAAACATGTCAATGGAATGACTACCTATCAACCCAAGTTGATGATAATGCTGATTTATGTTTTGAACATAACTTACTCGTTTTGTGTGGCCCAAATATATATAAAGTATATAGATAATGCAACAGCGAACAGAATATACGAAATAATTAGGAACATTATGTCAATTGTTTTGACTAAATCTTTAACGGATAGGTTGTCACTTGCTTCTGGTTTATCCTCAACCGATAGTTGAATACATTTCTTTTGGCAAAAACAAACAGCTAAGTACTGTACACATACATTTATATCATTTATGTCTTCAATATAATAGCTGTTAATACTGCAGATGACGCATATAACAATTCCTCCACTGATCATCATTACT